TGTAATGGCAAATGCCATAATGATTTTCTTGCCTGGAATTCTGCCTTTTTGAACAGACTTTTTGATTGAGTCCTAGCTTTTCTGCACTCTAAAAACGAATGCCTTGGCTCAACAAGAAAATCAACGCAACAGTTTGCATCGATGTTTATTGAGTTAAGACAACTTCTAATGAAATTGTCTTAAAGCAACAAAGTTATTTGAGTTAGGGGAGAAGGCTTTTCCTCTACAATCAGAGGTGCTTTTAATTACCACTTACTTAATAATTGGTAGCATAAACACAAGTTTTGAAGTTGATTACTCAAAAGATTAAGATGTTCCGACTAGTTTTACCACATGATTTAAAAGGAATTTTAAGTTGTATGTACTTAATTACCCTCATTCGGGATACAAGTTTTTAAGTTGATTACTCCAAAAATTGAGTTGTTCCAACTTGTTTTACCGCATGATTTAAAAGGAATTTTAAGTTGTATGTACTTAATTACCATCATTGTGAACACACGTTTTTAAGCTGACAACCATTTATAAATTAAGTTGCTCCAAATATATTGTATTCAATATTTTTTTTCTTAGCTTTTTCATGTTTTCGCCTTTAAAGAAAGACATGAATTGATTCAACAACAAAAATATTAGGCAATTCACTTTTTATTTTGAACTGCAGTTGTTTATTTCAACACATGATGTTTCAATCAGGAGAGAATTCATTTTGTTTGAACATTTATTGACACATGCCATATATGATAAGGTGCATGAACACCTGAAATCACAGCTTATTGCAGGAGAGAGGAGAACCATTTTATAGTTTGGCTGCAGCACGTTGATTGGCTGCTGGAGAATGAGGTGAAATGTAATAGGTTAAAGAGAAAATGGGGACACAGCTGCCATCACAACGAAGTTAGAGGCCTTTGCATATTTAAAACCAGTGCCAAATAAGTAAAATCTCTAAAGTTTTTGTAAAACTACAGAAACAAACTCTCAATGGCCACCAATCTGCAGATCACACACATCAATTTTACAAAAGATGTAACAAAGATGTTTACACTGCCGACAGTCATTATTTCAAACAGTATGAACACATTGAACGCAGAATGCTTGCTCATTCATTTGTTTACCTCGACCACGATGGTTGCCATCGTATGGTTAGATCCTGGGGTGGACCGGTCACTGATGAAGGCGATATTCATGTCCTTTTGAAGCACATTAAATAATAGGTTAGCGCATAAGAGATAATGAATTAGGTAATTGCATACTTTTTAAACTGTCACTCTTAGATAATTCAGATCCATTATTACCAGCTGCTAAAGCAACGCTGGTATTGTTTTCACCTATTGAGTCTGCATGTCTGTGTCACCATGGCAATGTGGTCCTGAAGACACACAGAGGTGCTTTTGAGTACTTTGCCTAGTGTTTAAATGCATGTGGACAGATTTTGTCGATCACAACCGTGCAAGTTTTAGTGTATCTTCTCATCTTTTCTGCAGGTTCCATACACTATTTGAACTGGTTAAGTGAAGAGCAGAAGCCACTTTTCAAATGTTACACAATCCTTTTCCCATGCCATTGCTGTCAACACCTATCCATGCTGAACGTTGCTAAGATATTATTGATTGGGGTGTGGCCAAAAGTGCAATATGCTTCAAAATGTAACTGACAGAGAGCAGTGCTTTTGTCCTGTGTTTTTACACTGTGCCCGTGGATTTTATTTTATTCAAGATTTTTAATTACGTCGCTAAACTCCTTGGAAAAGATCCTCTTCCTTTTCTCCAAGGTACACGACAAGGCAGCGGATGGCTATAGTTCTCTGCGTACTTCAATTGTATTGTGCTATTTTTGAAAAAGGGAAAAAAGAGAAATTACCTAAATTAATATATTCTGAATGGGTGACTGCCAACAACTTGCATTTCAATGACAACTCTAAATAACGATCCTACCTCAAGAAGCATGTCATTGATCTGCTTCACCGAGATTCATTTTTAATAAAAAAGCGATATCACAATAGTGACCAAAGTATTTTTACTCTCACAGTAGCCTCTACTACTTTGTATCCTCTCACAGAACTATTCACAGTTCAAAGGATGCTAGTTTTGGTCAAACAGCAATTTGCCTATACAGTGCAACTACAAGGCTATCTACTGTATTTGACTGACAAAAGATGACATTCACCTTAAAATGTGCTTTGTATATTTCTATTTGTCTTAACTGTCGGAACTTGTCCAGGCATGTTAAGTGGGAGTGGACTTGAAATCCTTAACTCAAGGTGTAGAACAATGAAGTTATCAAGCCAATTGCATTACTTGCTACAACTTGAATTTTGTTTTAAGAGAATTAACGCAGAAATCAGAGTTCAAATTACACACAATATTAAGTTGATGTAATTACCAACATTATTACGTCAACTAAACTTATAAATTAATATTTACAACTTAAAATGTTTATCCAAATCAATGAACTCACATTTTTATCTTGAAACCATGCATTTAATTAAGTGGAGGTGAAAGGTCGCCTGAATTCGTTTTTAGAGTGCAGTTTCCTCGAGATTGAGAAACGGCCACTGTATCTTTGACGGTCATGTTATATTCCTGGAGGTATGAGAGGACACAGCAAGTATCTAACCCAAGGCTTAGTCTAATCTCGGCATAAATAGATTGATGTTTCACTTGGAGGTGAGGAATGTAAGTGCAGGGCAACCTGTGAAAGCCTGTTAATTTAGGCATGGACTTTAAGTAACTGGCATTTGCAGCGCGAGGCCTGCAGAGTGAAAATACTAAATTATCCCCAAATGACTGTTACATCACAGACCCTGTGCTGCACTGTGCTGTGTGTGACCGTCTACTTCAGACCAGATTAGGAGGTCGAAGGTTTGGTTTGCCCAGCTACATATACCCTGCTGAGGGCTCTATGGGGCCAGGTCTTTACCCAAACATGGTCAGAAATACTGCAGATACACATACAACATATTCCGGTTGACCTATGCGAGGTGAGAAGCCTCTGCGTTTCATTTGCAAAAGATTACATTCTCCTCAGATGAACTCCAATGCACTCAGAGTTCACGGTCTGCTCTGGCTACTGCACAATTGCACCACAGGGTAAGACACTGTACCTAAAGGGGATTAACATTTTCCAAATGAATGGATACTCAATAATACAAACTCAATTTTGGAAGTCTGACATTCTAGCCAAAGATGCAGCCGTTTCGCACATTCTCCTTAAAGTTGCAATCCCAGAGGGGGACACGGGGGAACCCAGAAAAGACAGAACAACTCAAAATGAGTAATACCAATATGATGGAGTGTTTGAGACAAGGGGAAGTGGGCAGGGTGAGGACAGTGGAGGGAGGAGGGGTTGCTGAATTTGCAAACTATTGCCCAAATAAGTACCTATTAAATAAGAATGTATGCCCTGCTGAGCTACTGATAAGGCAGCCAGGAGAAAGGAGCTGTGGAAATAGAACATGTCCATATAGAGAGGGGAGCTTTGGAGAGAGGGAGCAGGAAGGAGCAGGAAGGGGGCAGGAGGTTAAATGCTTCCCCAGAATGTGTGCTTTCCACTGGTGAAGAGTCTCAGAGTGGGTCCCCGCTGACTGACACAGCCTGAGGGCCCACTGTGAGCCTGATTAAGCATAGGCAGCTGAACTATTAGCCAAGAAATTACCGCTCTTAAAAATCAGTTCCACTCTCAAGGGCCATGTTTACCAATGTTTGAAAACACTAATGATGCGACACTGGAACATTTTCATAATTCTGCTCAGCGTTTCCAGGCAGAGAGTTTTTAGACTACAGGACTGATGGGTGAAAAAAGAGGAAAGACAGTGAGAGGAAAACCTGTCTGACTAACAACCCCACAGATGTTGCTCTTCTCTGACACCACTGGTCTCCATAGCAACCCGGCTGGCCAGTAATAGCCTCAGGCTCGCCTGGCTGCAGCGGTGTCATAAACACACACGGACCATACACACAAACTGGAGAGTTTCAGCCATTGAACGGGATCCCAGTGTGCATTTATAGACACAAACACAGGGACCACCCCTTAGGCCTAACCAGAGAACATACATATCTAAACAGAGACTTTCTACTCCCATCATTAAAAACCCGGCCCACAAACACAGACCCACCAAGTCCCTGCATTCTGGTAAACAAGCCCTGTAATGGGTGATAACAGATAGCTGGGCCTTCAACATTAGAGCTGGCTTGTGTTTATGCTTCCTGGGTACGTGCAAAAAGCACTTGCTGAATTCTCCGATTAATATTAGGAGGTATAATCCTTTGACCATGGTCACAGATTATGGAGGTCAAAGCTTGGCAATAAACTGAATTCTGAGTGGCACGTGAATACAGAAGATGACTTCTTATAATCAATGCTAGTCTGTTCCCGCATTCAGATTCTGCACAACACAGTTGTCATTCAGAAATAGCAAAAGGAGACATCCTGTTTGAGTAAGAATACATAAATATAAAGGTGATTATTACCCCAAAGATCGGACATATCACCGTTAAAACTTTAATTATGCTTGGGAAACCTACCACAGTTGGTTGCAGCTGACTCAAACCCATTAATAATCAGTATACTCATCAGCTGTATGTATACCTATCATGTGCTATAAACCCTGCCGACTTGGCACAATGCCTCTCCGTGTACATTACCAGTGAATGATGCTCTGTTTCATAAAGGTGACAGCTATTGTGCAGCTCAAGGCAGGCCAGAGGTGCTGATTATGTAAAGGATGAAAAACACTGAAAGCCTCAAACTGTATACTGTATATGTATGTGGGAGGTAAGTGTGAACAGTGAACTTACCAGGTGACAGACACAGGGACAGAAAATTGAAGGGGAGGGGAAACACCGGAGGACAGCACTGGACCACTCTAAAGAAACAAGAGATAAATAGAAGGAAAATAGGAGAAAGGAGACGTTGTTATTTAAGCATCATCTTGTACATGCACTTACAGTTATATTACAGATGCTTGTGATGCCTTCAGGGGAGACACCACCGACACAAACAACCCTGTTAAAACATACGCATGCACAACACACACTGTGGTGTAATCATTCGCCCTCCCTGGTGGGCCTCATTCTACTTCGCTTGTTCAGATTTGTAATCAGTTCTCTGGCTTCTGCTTAATAAACCTGTAATGGGAAACTGCTTCCCTCAAGAAAAGGATGCTTTCATCAGAAAGACTGGCAGATATGAGCTGGGAAATTAGAATGAACTGACACCACCTCCACATCTGCTCTGCTCTGCTCTGCTCTGCTGTGCTGTGGCCAGATGGGTAATAGGGATGAAAAGAAAGACAGAGAGAAGGAGTGAAAAATGAACACAGTTATAGATGGAAAAGAGGATAATCCTCCACTTGGCAAGCCATCTTTTATCCTTACAGTATGTCCGCACTAGGGACAAGACAAATTCCTGAACATTTCCTGTACTTAGACTCTGCCGGTGTCCTTCGTCACCTCTTCATCACAGCTCCATCTTGCTCTGCCCAGAGGAGGACAGGAACTGTGGCGCACGGTAATGGTTTCTTTACACAGTCACTTTGCAAGATAATGCTTAGCCAGATAAGCAAAGACACGGCAGGATAGCTTTCAAGTGCGGTAAAGTTGCTGTTCTGCAGATTGTATTAACATCTGGGATTACCCTGTTTATTAATGTTGATTTTTGTAAGCTTAGTAAAACTAAATGTGTCCTGTGAGTGACCCCTTTGCTCCGTTTTGCAGAAGGCTTATCATCCAGTATGTCTTTTCTATAACATTTTTGTAAAGGAGGAAACCTTTATCATTCAAGATGTTATTATATGGAATTTAATGTTGTCATAATTACAAAATGACTGTATGTTGTTATCCTGGAAACAATCACATAATCACTTCATTTTTATGTTATCATTTACACAAGCTCTCTGCTTATTACTTTCTGAGTAGCCATTTCCTGGAGGATGGGACTTTCCTATTAGAACCATCTCTGCTACTATCTGGATCACATGTAAACCCATAATAAAGAAGATCTCAAGGCTGTCCTTTACATAATGTGCACCAAGGACATACCATGCTAAACAAACATGTATTATTGAGGCTAGGTACTGAAAGGACATACTGACAAAACAAAGATGTTCTTTTTCAGATTGCACATAATAGCAAAGTTTGCAATAGTATACTGTATACTGCTTTAGTTACCTTATGGCATTATATCTTTTACTGGTCAACACAAAGCAACCATTTTCATCTCTGAGAGACAGCATTGGTCCAATGGGCACATAATATTTTTGAAGGGTTCAATAGATTTGTGTTATCAACTAACAATGGTGTAAATTGAACAAAACATGCCTCTCAGCCCCTTTGAATGGAAGAGCAGCAAGACACCTCATCCAAGACTATTATGGCATGATTGAGCTGCATACAACCGCAAGCATAATCAAATATTGTATGTATGACAGATTTTCACCTAAAAGTATTTCCTTCACGAGGGAATTAAATGCAAAGAAACCAATGGAGTAATCAGGAGCTGATTCAAGGTGTTAATACTTTTGCAACAGGTCATCTCCCATTGATCTGCTCATTATTAACCCATCCATCCTGTCCTTTGAGTCATCTGCTTCCATATGTTTCCCCTCCATCTTTCTCTCCCATTCCCTCTCTCCTCTTCATGTGGATGGGCCTCTCTCCCAGTGGCAGCTTATGTGGATCAAATATTCCAGAGGTCAAGTGGCCTCACGGGTCGAGAGCTGTTCACAGGCCTCTTCAGGCAGGGAGAGGATCAGTGGGTATACACTTTGCTCCAAAAAAGGGAAGCCGTGTCACACGAGACCAGGATTTATGTTCCGCTGAATATTTTGGTGAGAACACAGAAGTAGGGTTCAGAAAGAAAGTACACAGACGGCTATAATAAAAAACAGAAAACAGATAACAGATAGCCAATCCATCAACTGTTGACTAATCCAGCTACCCAGCAAACTGACTAAACATTCAAATACAGAGTACTGACATGAGTCTGATAAAAACAGCTTCCCGATAAAATATAATAAATAAAACCAAGCAAAGAAGAGCGCTGAGCAACCATGGAAACTCTCAGAAAACACCACTTCCTGGATAGTCCAATTACAGATACACAAAATCAAACAAAGAATGATGTACTTTGCTACCTGATAGGCTCTCTCTCTCTCGCTCTCCCTACCCTTTCACTCTATGAGTGTGTGTTTAGAGAATGTGTGTATTTTTAGAGGTTGTGCTATTCTTAGTAACATCCAGCGGGGCAGTAATAATTCCTTTGATTAGGGCAACAGGTGAGGGCTGGTAATCTCACCCCTGCCTGGCAGATTTAAATGTTATGAACAGTGGCAGCTCCACCATCATCACTCAACCAATGACAGCTCTACAGGAGGAACACACAGGGGGGCTGGTTAAAAGGACACACACACACACACACACACACACACACACACACACACACACACACGCTCCTGCACTTACAAACACAGTGGACCAGTACATTCCACCAGCTGGACAATGGAGCGGGCTTTAGGGCTAAATCCCTCTCGTATCCCTTACTATGAGGAACGCCACGAAGCCTAAATGAGTCTCTTCCCAGAACACACACACATTCATTCTCACAGACATAGATGCATAGGAAATGAGCACACAACAGTTGTAGAAACAAACACAAAAACCCTCCCCTCACTGCGACCCATGACACGTGCGTGTGACCTTTTGTCCCCAGGAATGTGACCCCTGTCCTGGGGCCCGATGACAAGTGCACTTTGTGTCGTGTTGATCCTGCGGACAGGTATGTGACTCACAGAGGAATGTGTGTGCTTTTCAAACAGCAGTGGCTTTTTCTGACACTGTGGTGTAAAGGCTCAGTGCTTTTCAAGTTCAAACTGTGTGTGTAGAGATAGTAGAATATAAGCTGTAGAAACTAGGATGGAGAGACAATCAATTGGGACATTTTAAAACGTTTGGTGGTGTTTTCCTAATTGTTTCAATCATCAAAACTAATCAAATAAAAACCTTTTTTAAACCAATCAGGATTAGGCAATATCTAAATCAAAATGGGATGACAGTTTGGCTTCCAGTTTCCAGATGTTTATATTTAAATATGTTTAAACACTTTGATATTTGTACAGGTGGTTGACAATACATTGACATATCATCACCTTTTTAGGTTGAAATGGTGAATTTGTTGGTAAAAATTTGCTTATTTACATACAACATTGTATTAAGTGTATGAACCAACTGTCTTTTTTCTCTGTCTTGGTCTCCACCAACTCCTGGTTCTTAATTTCTAAATTCTATTAAATAAAATTAATTCTTAATTTGTATTAATCTTGAGATTTGAGAAACGTATTGATTGGTTCTGTCATGTGGACTTTTACGTGTTTTCCGAATGAACTGGAAAAAACCGCTCAGGAGCTATTCATGAAAATAAGGAATGATCAAATACCCTTAATAAAAATGGAATAAGAATAAATGTTTCTCTTCAGCGGTGTGTCTAGTGTTTGAGCTGTCCACATAGATCAGTGCTGCTGCCATTTGTAGAGACCATACTACTCCATGACAGAACTACAGCAGAACTAAGCCTGCCAGCCCCGCCATGTGCCGTTCACATAACTACATGTTCATGAACAACTTGACAGGATGTGTGAGTGTGTGCACGTCAGTGTATTGCGTATCTATGCAGATCTAGGCTTCCCTGGGTCTGCTGTGGCCTTCAGAAGACTTTTTCATCTGTGTGATTCTCCGTTGTTTCAAAAAAAGAATCCTTCTTGCCATGTCTTTTTTTACGTCAGGCATTATTTACAACTGAAGGTACTGCATTCATCCCAAGAGCTTTGATGAAATGTGCATGACGTTAAGAAGTAGGGGACAGGCTTACCCAGACGCTTTATCTCATTGCAATATCAAGGACAGATTCATAAAAGCAATGTCAGCTATGACTATGAAGTTATTTATTGTAGTTTATATAATAAAAAACGGTCCTGTTTTAGTCCTTATCTTTGTCCCGTTGCTTTTTGTGTTACATTTCGGTACTTCTTCTTGGGTTCCATCGTCTTATCTTCGCCCCCTTCTGTTACGCCCACACTGATCCTGACCTCACCAGCTCTCGTTGTCCTTTCGGATACTTTCCCAGCAAATGACAGTCACTGCTCGACCCGTCTCTGCTCAGTATGAAGAGAAGAGTTGCTGAATCAGATCTGTAATCTCAGAGAGGTGCAGAGCCCAGGCGAGTATTAATCCCTGCTCCCTGAGTCACTGCCAGTGGAAAGTGTATGCTTCCTCCCAGCCAACACAGGTTAAAGGGGACTACTTTATCGATCAGCTACTGTACATTTCTGCTGTGGCATGAGGGGGGGAGTGAAAAGGAAGAGATATATGAAAACAGTAATTGGATGAGGGAGGGTAAAAGGCAGACAGACAGACTGAAGGACAGCGAGCAAAGAGTGTGGGACAAGCCAGGCAGATCAATCCTGTAGCCGTCTCCAAACGGGAGGATCACCATGGTGATGTGCTGAATTAGAGCCGACTGTGTTGCGCAACAAGGCTTCCATGGTGATCTGTGCGCAGCATTTTGGGAGAATAAGTCCATTAAGCAGGAGCAGACATAGGACAAAGAGTTGGTTGTCTCACCGGTGATAGGTTGCCGTGGGTGATAAAGTACATGTCTGTTTTTGGTGACGCTCCCAACTGAAAAACATCTAAATCTAGACGTTAACTACAAAACAAAGTTATATGGCAACACTTAGTGATGTCTATCGATTAAGAACAACCTGCGTTAAGACAATAATAATCTGCGGTGAATCATCATTTATCACAAGTTTGAAAGTAAGCACTAGTATTTACTTTCATTATGTGGGGGATATAAACTTGCCATTTCACA